GGGTGGTTGGGGAAGAGCTTTAGTAATCATGACAGGTTTTTAACCTGTTCAGTCAACTACTGCCCCTCAGAAGTGACTAGTGCCCAATCTAACCGGAGAGAGTTCAATAAGGCTTTTATCAGCTTATGTTTAGGAGTACAAATATAGAAAATCATTACATGTAGATAGGAATAAAGAGCAACGGACATAGAAAGAGAACAATAGAGCAAATACATAGAAGAGACAGCCACAAAAAGGAGGACAACACAACTGGGATTCACTGCAAGTACACAAGTCAGGTACCCCAGCTTTACTAAGGGTCACAGTACTCCAATTTCATTCTAATGCCGATAATAAATATTATTATAGAACGCTTGATATGAAAAATGAAATGTAATTTTGCATGAGAGGATTGTTTGGCCTTCATTGATAACTCTACATTCCTTCACAGAGCCCATGTGATACAAGCACACTCTACAAACAGACGTTGTGTACAAGAACAAGACCCACCGAATCTTTCTTGCGGGACCTTTCCTTCTTCATCTTGCCTCCGGCTGCTCGGACGCTCACTCGGTTCTCACCACCGAGGTAACCCCGGCAATTGGCAGATCCACAGAAGCATTTCTGAGCTTCTCTCCTGTAAAAGGGGTAAAAAGGTCCATTGTGAATACATATATGGGGATAAATATAAAAGGCAACGCTTCTCTGAACCGCCCAGTAATAAAATGCTTCTTAAAACAAGACGAGAGATATCAGCTGGTGCAATACTCCAATCCCAGCCCAAAGAAACTTTCAGGAAAATAGGTGTAGTATACTACACATTAAGGATGCACCGATATGTCGGCCGAAAATGGAACTTTTGTCTAAATGCCGAAAGTGCCATTTCCCCGCCGATACATCGGCGCATCCCTGCTTTCTTTCCCCCCCCTCTGGGCGCTGCTCTGTGTCCCAGCCAGCCGAGCTCTGTGGGAGGAGAGTGCTGTGAGAGGCCGGCGTCTCTCCTCCCACACCGCTCAGCCGCCTATCACAGTCCGGCAGCGTGGCGTGTGGACGGAGACAGCCAGCGCTGTCACAGGAGGCCGAGCTCTCCTCTCCACATCGCTCGCTCAGCCTCCTGTGACAGCGTGTCAGAGAGGAGAGCGGGTACAAGCAGTCGGTGATCGCTGAGTGTTTGTAGGTAATTGAGGACAGAGTATGGTTACTATATCCTCAATTATGAATGAATGGGAAGTGATCTATATCACTTCCTGTTCATTCATGATTGTGGTTATAGTAACCATACTCTGTCCTCATGTTATCAATGATCAGGAACACTCAGTATAGAGGATTCCTGTTCATTGATAACAGGGGCTGCAGAATAAGAGATTGAGGACTCTGTGTGTCATCTGAGGACTCCCCGTCTCGGATGACTCCCCGTCTCGGATGACTCCCCGTCTCGGATGACTCCCCGTCTCGGATAAAATAAAAATATTCAATTAAAAAAAATGAAACAAACATTTATAAAAAATTAAACATTTGAAAAAATTAAAATAAAAACATTTTCGGTTTGACAATTTTTTTAATTTCAGTTTCGTTTCGGCTTTGAAATTTCCATTTCGGTGCACCTCTACTATACATTCCGGAAATCAGCATGTCAGATAAAACAGAGATAGCATGCAGCGATGGAATAAATCTGTAAACACTGAGCACCAGGGGGCGAAACTCAATCGGAACGCTAAATAGAGACTGAGCTTGCAGTAGAACCTCCACCCACATATTTCAAGGGCATAAGTCTCTGAAAAAGGGGCAGGGCACCGAAACATGTATATGGAGCCATTTATGTCCAGGCTGCAAGCTCATTCACCAGTTTCCCCCCCCCCCTTGGTGTGCTTATAGTCATCTATAGCCTTCCATCAATGCATACTACCTCTCCTTTTGACAGCTTTATAGAAATGATAGTCCGTGCACCTGCACTGTGACCCGACACGTGAATCGAGCTGAATCACCTGGCTGCAAGCTCTGATCAGCGAGGCGGTCTGGGCCCCCGCCCAGAGGAGGCCTGGTGCCCCGGCCCCAGAGGAGGCCTGGTGCCCCGGCCCCAGAGGAGGCCTGGTGCCCCGGCCCCAGAGGAGGCCTGGTGCCCCGGCCCCAGAGGAGGCCTGGTGCCCCGGCCCAGAGGAGGCCTGGTGCCCCGGACCAGTGGAGGCCTGGGCCCCGGACCAGTGGAGGCCTGGGCCCCAGCAGGCCTGGGCCCCAGCTGAGGAAGCATGACAACTATGACAATTCTCTTCAAGTAAGCAGAACGAAGTTTGCTCAAAGCATTGTAAACGCCGGCTGCACACACCCTTCAGACTGGCATTTACAAACTGAAGCTCGTGTGAAGCAGGTCTTAGGGCCCCATGTTGTTGGGCTTCACACACGCGAATAGGCAAATGCTGCAAGCCTCAAGCTAAATTGCTTTGCATGTGACATCAGTTTGAGACGCTTCTGAGATCATTCAGAACTCATTGACGGGTGCATTTGACCTGCAGCTGACATCCTATGCTGCATTGCCATTCATTGTATGAGGAGAGAAGCAGTTTGCATGTGAAGAAAAGCCCACCCACACTGACCCTATGGGAGGTCTGTGCAATCCTTTTACAGAAGGTTTAAAGGAGACTTGACTATAAAGTCCTGTGTTACACAGCGTGTTACTCAACAGGGAAATACAAAACAATTGACAAACATTTAAAGTGACACCAAACTCAGGAATTAAATCTTAAAAATCCATTCAAGTACCTTCTCTTGCCACCTGGGCAACCCCAGGTTGATGATAAAGGTGCCGAAAATGATAAAGATTATCACCTATGGCCACATCACCCTGAAAGCGCCCGATCTCATCTGATCTCTGAGGATTAGCAGGGTGGGGCCTGGTTAGTACATGGAAGGCAGACCACCTGGGAATACCAGGTGCTGGAGGATTTTTTTTTAGCTTTAAGCCCACCATGGAACAGTGTTTGAATGCATTGCAAATGATTTCCCTGTGTTGTTAATAGGTTGGACTTGATGGACATTTCTTTATTCAACCTCAAATACTATGGAACTATGTAACCTTAACTATTAACAACAATGGAGGGAATTTATCAAAACTGGAGCAGATTTGTACTCCAACCAATCAGCGTCTCTGTCTCATTTTCAAATCTTACCTGAGCAAACTGGAGAGATGCCGATTGGTTGCCATGGACAACTGCTCCGGAATCTGTCTGCTGCCGTTTTGATAAATTGCCCCAATGTATCTTATTTGTGTATCACTCGGCTGTGGATCCTTCAATCATCTCTGAATTGGTGATGACACTGTCCTTCCTTCTGGAGGGGAGCTAAGTCTGTTCCCCATGGTCCCTGCGTGTGTTGTAAAGTAGTCACCGCTCCAAGCTCACTCCCGGGATGGACTACAGTCTCAGGTTTAGTTTACCGATTTGTATTGAGATTGAAGTCCATCCCTGGAGCGAGCTTGGAGCGCTGACTACTTTACAACACACACAGGTACCATGGGGAACAAAAGTAGCCCCCCCTCCAGAAGGAAGGACAGTGTCAGCACCAATTCAGAGATGATTGGAGGATCTACAGCTTCTGCCTTGCAGCACTGGGGTCCCCAGTTTGAATCCCAGTCAGGACACCATCTGCATGGAGTTTACATGTTGTCCCTGTACATGTGTGGGTTTCCTCCCACACTCCAAAAGACATGCTGGTAGGATAATTGGCTCCTTCCCCCAATCGGCCCTAGTATGTATGAGAGATGGTTAGCTCCTTCTTCTTACCCATAACGTTGGAACTGGTAGTCAAAGGTCAACTCCGCGCCTTTGGGGACTAATCTTGTGGTGAAAAAGCCGACCCGAAGCTGCCCGTTCACTGTCCACTGTGGGAGACACAACGCATGATCATTAGTGTGAGAGAAGGGTTATATCCTCTATATCCTTTTTTTTCCATCAATACCTCCAACGGGGCATAGAGGTAATGAGGTCACCGGCACACGGGGTTCACATTATCAGTCTGTGCGTCACATCGTTGTGCCGGATGAAGGGACTGCACTGGTCCCGAAACGTTGAGATCTTTTGCGGTAGCATGTTTATCCAACGTCAACAAAAGGACGGATTGATAATGTGGACCCCGGTGTGATGGTGACTTCATTACCTCTATACAAGAAAACAAAGCAAGGTAAAGCATTAGAGAGTCACAGAGGTTTAACTTTAGAAATGCCGCCGCCAACAGAAACCGCGTCTTTCTTACCTTCTGCGTCTCACAGTTCGGGTCGCAGCTGTGGTTCATAAAACGCGAACAGTTCCCCTTCAGCGTGGCGTCGATTATCTAATAAAAGATAAACGTGTATGAAAAATCCACCCAAACAGACTCTTTACCACCTAAAAGTTCAAGTAAGAACCACCGAACGTGACCAACAGCAACCAACCAGATGTCAAGCTTGCAGTGGAAAAGGTCAACTGGGAAATAGAAGTCTAATTGGCTACTGTGTACAAATGAGACCAGGGGTCAGCAACCTAAGGAGCAGGGGCCACAGTGGGCGCACAAAGCAGTTTTCAGTGGCACCTGACGGATCGATGGTCACATGTCCATAAAATGGTTTACCATCTTGTCTTGAATTGTATTGTGATGGTAATGTCTTCCTTATATTGTAAAGCGCTGAGCAAACTGTTGGCGCTCTATAAATCCTCTATAATAATAATAATATTATTTATCATTAGAACATAACTTTAATAAAGTTTGTTGGATATAACCTACACTGCAGTGCAGCAAGTTTACCAAATTGTTGTCTGAACAAGGCGACCTTTGTATTCGTCTCCATGTTTTTCACACTGCACATTTACGGTCAAACAGAATTTTTTTCACCCCTGAACATCTTGTTAGGTCCAACAGGAATCCCCCAACTCACAACAGATAATAATTCAGAAGCACGAATGTAGCTGAAGTTAACATCCTACAGGCCAGGCATAGCACAGCTCAGGCCCCATTCACACAAGGCATGTTGCCCTGTACTGTGGGAAGAAGCGTGCAGGCAATTCAGGTAAGTTTATGGAGACACGGGCGATACCATTCTGCTTGGTTACATAAAAGGCACACTAGCGCAATATAATTTAATCAGCGGACTATGTTGGTTATATTTTGGGGTAAATATAGGGGCGTGTGTAAATGACAAACATTGCATTGGGGAAAAATTAAAGGAAAATTTGCAAATGTGCATTTTCTAAAATAATTGACTAGAGACGCATCGATAACCGATACTAGTATCGGTGCCGATATCGAGTATTTGGGCGAGTACTCGGCCAAATGCTCCGATACAGGAACTTCTGGTCAGATGGAGATTTCCTCTGACCGGCAGCGACGTGAGGGAACATTGAGCCGTCTTCCAGGCCTATCAGGAAGCTAGGCCACAAGTCATTGCCCGCGGCCCGGCTTTCCGATTGGCCGTGAGGCCGGCTCCATGCTGTTTGGCCGGCTCAATGCTAATTGGCCGGGAAGCCGGCTTCCCAGTCAATCAGCATGGAGCCGGTTAAATGGCGTGGAGCCGGCTTCCCAGCCAATCAGGAAGACGGGCCGCGGGTAATGACCCGCCTACCTGATTGGCCGAACAGCCGGCTCCATGCTGGTTGGCCGGGATGCCAGCTTCCCGGGGCAATCGGGTAATGACACGCTGCCCGGCTTCCCGATTGCCCAAGAAGCCGGCTCTATGCTACCCGAAGTACCAGTACTTGGTATCGGTGAGTACCGAAATATAAATATCGATACCGAAAAATCGGCATTGGTGCATCGTTATAAATTTACCATTACCAATAAAATTAAAAGGAAATAAGTATTTTAAGTAGATTTCAGCCAAGAGTGTAGATTTGTTCAAGAAACGTTTGGACAATTTCTTGAGGGACCGTAATATCCAGGGATACCAGTACCCCTAAGAATGAGATGATGCGCGGACCTATATGGGTTGGACTTGATGAACGTATGTCTTTATTCAACCCCAAATACTATGTAACTATGTAAACTACAAGTCCCATGAGACATTGCAAACCTGACAGCCACAGGCATGACTCCAAGAAGCAGATGCATGAAGGGATTTGTAGTTTCACCACAGCTGGAGGGCCGAGGTTACCTATCCCTGTGTTAGGGTAACTACAAAAACTGAAAAAGTTTAATACATGGAAGTAAGAAATCTCTGCAATTCCCTAAGACCCAGGAACATTTTTGGAGAAAAGGGCCCCCCGGACCCAAGTGGTTAAACCCAGAATGGGGCTTTGATTTTATCCTAATGATCCCACCTCGTCATTCTTCAGCGCCATGAAATAATAGTGGATGTTCTTGTTGCGGGCGTACTCCTTCACACGCGCCTTAAACTCCTTGTGATCCAGGACTTCGCCGCAGTACTCCAGCACGAAGGCATTCCTGAGGAGGAGGTGAACGCGTTTAGTTAGAAGCTGCATTGTGAAAAGGAGAACAAGGACAGGTACCGACCAACAGAATATTCTTACGGTTTCAGGTCTTTACCAGCCCGGAGACCCCAGCCCTTCTTCTCGGTTAGGATAGCCTCGACGTCGGCGTGCTGCTTCCTCTGGAATCGGCGGTTGGAGCAGTAATCACCATTCGGACATCTGGAGGAGCTGGGACGAGAGAACATTCAAGATGGAGGGTACAGCAACACATGCACGCGATAAAATAAATTATTAAAACGCCAGATTAAAGTATATTGTTGATAGTGTCTGCAGTGTTATGACCAGTTTAGATAAGGTAGGTCCTCCTGATGACCGCCATGGATGGCGCCGTGCAGAACCTCAGATGTGAAGATAGAAACACAAAAATCGTACAAACAGCGCTCTTGGAATGATCTTGGGGAGGCGGATAATGTGACCCTAACTAGCATGCAGCCCTGAGACCCAGGAGGAGTGCCTGTGGATATGAAAACCAGAACGAAAAACAAAAAACAAAAGGGCACAAAACTAGGTCAGCTGACTGACCGGATCGGACATACCAGGGAAGGTGACAGGGGAAATAATGTATATATGAAAAAACACTTACTTGTGTGGGTCTGGGAACCAGAAGCAAACCGGCCTGTGAGGAGGATCAGGGTGTCCAAATTGTATGTGAATGCCGACTGGTGTGTAGCCTGAGGTTACTCGTCCCAAGGGGAAGAGGGAGACAAGAGAGGAGAGAAGTGGACAGGAGGCCGGTGACTGAATGAGGGGTTCTGCACACCGCTAAAATCCTCCATTACAGCGTCAGGTAGACGGACTAACCCCTCGTTCCGTCACCTGCCTCCTGTCCACTTCTCTCCTCTCGTCTCCCTCTTCCCCTTGGGACGAGTAACCTCAGGCTACACACCAGCCGGCATTCACATACAATTTGGACACCCTGATTCTCCTCACAGGCCGGTTTGTTTCTGGTTCCCAGACCCAGACAAGTAAGTGTTTTTTCATATATACATACATTATGTCCCCTGTCACCTTCCCTGGTATGTCCGATCTGGTCAGTCAGCTGACCTAGTTTTGCGCCCTTTTGTTTTTCGTTCAGATGTGAAGATAGGTCACCAGCACTCCAAAATGCAAAGAAAATATTGTTTATTCCAAATAACATCGCATAGGTCACAATAGACCAATGATTCAGGGTCGCACAGAGTCCCTTCCTCAAGGCAACACAGTGACCTGCATACAGATACACAACCCTGAACTCAGACGGTCCGCATTTGGGGTTGTGCACCTGTACGCATGAGCAGGTTTACTCAGTTCCGGCGTTTACCCGTATACAGCCATTGGCTCCTATGGGAGGCTGTACGTAGCACCTAAGGCTCCCTGGTGGGGAAAATAAGCCGGTATTATGTTGTATTGCCACAGGCGGCTTTGGGCACGAGCTCAAATGTAGATGAACTCTTTTTTTAATGTTCAGTTCTCTCTTCTTTAGCAGGACGGAACCGACAGTCCCAGTCCTACAAGTCTCCTCACAACCTATGTGACCAGGACTCTACAGTAGGGATGCTCCGATAGCGAAGACAAACATGAGTGGCTGGCCAAATGGTCCCCCAGGTGTGATCTCTCCCCCTACAATATAATTGGTTACAACAAAAACAGAAAGATACCGGGGTTTGTGAGAGATATGACACCGTGGCTTGAAGTTTGGTTTACCAAACTTC